CCAGGCTAGTTTGCCGGATTTTAAATCGGGTCTCCCAATTCTCACATCTTCCGCTCTCTCCGTTTCCCAACGAATGACGAGCTGCAAAACTTAACCACACAATCGCGTCCATTCCTTCAAAACGTAAATATTGGAAATTGACATAAATTAACTATGACAGAAATCCTAACAGTCAGATACAAGATTTGGGGCAACCAACTATGAACTATCTAACTATACTTTCTTCTCAGTCCCAGCAGACAAGGAGGGCTGGACAATCGAGACGGTGTGCTGAGTGCTCGAGGACGTATTTCCCGCTACTTGCAATAACAACTGCATTAGATTATCGACTGCATTAGATTATCGATGATGCTGGGAGTAAACCAGTTGTAAAGAGGGGCACTAAACCAAGTCAACGAAACGCAAGTTTTTAAAGCTATTAATAGAGAGTGACTAAAAGTAAAGGATATAAATAGTTATATACCTTATCGGACCTTATTTGGACGGAAATTAAATGAACGGACATAATTATGAACGGACATTAATATGAACGCTAGAAGGCATTCAAAGCCATCAAAAATCCGAATTCTTTTTCTTATTTTTTGACGTTTTTTATTTCAGCAAATGATTTTTAAATCCATTTTTTATACAGTGGGATTTCGTGCATGAAATACTAATTAGTCCATGCTTAAAGCATCAGTGATTTCTAGCTTTATGGAAACCTTTTTTCATCAAACTACCCCGGTCCTGCATTTCAGTGTTAACTTTCACAAGCCATTCGGCGTGAAGTGGTTTTATCTTAGACAACTTTAGGTTAACCTTAACATCACGTGGAGCTTTCCTAGCACTGTTTCATTACCTCCCCTGAGTAATATGAACTATAACAACGTCGGACAATTTCCTTGGCAACACGATTTACCGTAATATCTAGAGGCTAGAACAAGTTTGTCATGTTGGCGGGGACTAGCTCATGAACTATGTCATTGAGTACCATAATTTCGTTGACTTTTTTCGCCAAGTGACCCTTGAAAACATCATATACTAGTAAAGTTTTCTATGCCTCCGGCAGACCAAGGAGAACCGTTCCGTTGTTAACTTACCGCTAACGGCACAATAAAGTTCTTATAGTTGTCATATTCTGAACGAAAAGTTAGAATTTTTGAAAAAATTTCAACGGACTTTAACTTGGACGGACCTTAAATGAACGGACTTTATTTGAACGGACATTAAGATGAACGTTATATTAGGGCCTCCGCCCTCCAGCGTTCAATTAATGTCCGTCCAAATAATGTCCGATAAGGTAGTTAGCTAGGAGTATTCCTTAAAAGAAAGTTTCAATCACATCAGCAAAATATCCATCCCATACAGCCCAATGAAACATAAAATTAAAACACTTTGAACACAACACAATTGCCACAAAACCGATAAAAATGCTCTTCCAGCAACCTTTGCTTATCTTGTCAAATTCTAACTTGTTCTATTCATTGCTTCGCCAGAGAATCTGCAACAAACAAGTATATTATATTTGAGTAATAGTTAAGATTCTGTGATTGTTTTTACCAAACCCCAAAATTGGGTAGAGTGGACTGTGGCCACTGTGTCTGTATTTCCTTTTTCGGCCCGCGTTATAGCGAGGGGCGTTTTACTTGTAGCGAGGTACTTCTGTAATTACTATGGAGTTATCGTAATGTAACTGTCACTCCTTTCTCAGCTCCAATAGCTCATTGTCCGTTTATTTCTAGATTTCCATAGAAGCCACTAAGTAAAAGACTAGATTCTGAATTCAATGGTAAAACGATTAACCATGCCCTCAGTAACTTGCCACTAGGATCATTGTGCTAAGAGAATACATACTATAACTATTGCAGACACTCTAACTCTTGTTAAACTTACCAAGCCTGTCTGTCCTTGTTAATCTCATACGGGATTACAAACAGACTAAGTCATCTTTATATTCAACAGGTTGAAAAGAGAAGAACAAAAAGCACCGTTTAGGGCACCACGAGTATTAGCCGGGCTGCTGTAAGCTTAGCGTATTTATTCAAGGTACTGCAAGTGAGCCTGTTCGTATAGTCGTTAGCCATAGGAAGATCGATTAACTCCAAGTAGAATTATAAAGGAACGTGAGGACTGAGAGGATTTTCAGGACGCGACTCTGCAGTGGTCGATTTGAGGGATACCTGAGGAAAATCAAATTTGGGTAGGAAAAATTGTATTTACCAAACTGTTAGTCAGAAATTTATAAAAGTTTTAGTTTACAATAAGTTTGATGATATTTTTTTGACTTTCAGTATTTTTATAATTATTTGTCAGACCCATCATCTTTTCGTAGACGAGACAGTAAAGGTGGTTTGTTGTTCTGTACAAATGATTACACTCACATCCATCTACCTTAAAAATTCCCATTCTTCTAATTATTAAAAAACGGCTCATGAATTGTCGTTCTAAGTTGCATTTTTCTCTAAATATGCAGTAGAGTTGTTATAAAAAAAGTCTGTTAATAACTGACTGGACCGAATTATATTGACAAGAATTTACCGTCTTCGCAAAAAACTATATTCTATTTCTATAAATCTGTCTAAAACATCTCAGTCCACTATTTCCTAACAGCACTGTGTGTCCCTTTGTCCAGGCGGGTTTAACCGGTTTTCATTACTGCACTCGGCAAATGCCAGCCTCTTCCACGAGAAATCGTAATAGTTCGCGGGGTATTCGAGGGAGGCTGACTTAGACTGGAGGATCCCTGGAAGAGGCGATCTATAGATTCTTAACAGCTCGGTCCTAATCACATAATGGGCCGAATGTGGTGAATAGAATGACGCGGTTATATAGGAAACGATTAGCCGGGCTGCGAGCTCAAGCTCGACGCCGGTTCTGATCACTTAATGGGCCGAAGCCCGAATGTAGTGAATAGAATGACGTGAATAGAATTCTGGTAAGAATAAATATTCATATATTCAGATCTGCTGTACTAGGAGAAGAGACCTGATTCTTTCACTGACCACTTGGCTGGCCCAAATTTTCTAGTAACGATGAATATTCAAACCTACAGATGAGACCTGATTCTTTCACAAATCATTAGGCTGCCCCAACTCACCAGCTTAATCGTGCATTAGTTATCAGCTTATCTAAGAACCTCGTAAGAGGCATCAGGTCAAAGGCGGTTGCAAGGCGATGGGTACACGTGACACACAAAGATCACCTCGGAATAAAACAAATATTATATTCAAATCTCTTTATTCAACAATATTAAATCATTATAGAACCTAATTTGTGGCTTGATCGTTATGTTAGGGCTATTCTGTTAGCTGATGCTGACAGGCACTGCATGGGGCAGAGACTTAGGACCATTACGCTGGAGGCTTACAATGACCCTTAATATACCTCGGTCCTTTTCTTGTAGATCAGTACACTATTTAAGGGTTAGGGTCAGGGTTTTCTTTTGCACGCTCTCATATCTAGAACACTGAACAGCGTACAAATTATTCGATTGATGCCGGCTGCACATAAACTTTAAGGGCTAACGCTATCCTAGCCTCGTGTATCACTATCGCGTCGGGGGGCTTATCAAAGTCTTCTTCTTTACCATTAGTTCTTACCATTATTCTTTTTGTTTAAGGAAAAACTTATGATGAAAAATAATATTTTTTGAGACAGACTTTAATATTTCATAAATCTGTGCTCAGTAATCGAAATGAGTTTATTGTCTTTTTCATATAGTTTTATCTTATCTATAAGGTGTCCAGTTCCATGGACGTCAATCATGTCCCTAATCCATTCCACGCAGTGATTTCGTAACAGAATTATAGGGATCATACAGTCGATTAAAAATCGTTTAGATTCTGTCAAATATTTTTAAGTCTTGGCTGATATGAGATTATCAATAAATAAATATTTTTGTCACATTTAATATTTAAGGTAAAAATATTTCTGTTGTTATATTTGATTTATCACTTTATCAGTCGTAATAAATTACATAATATATAAAAAAATTAAATATATCAGAAGCCAGAACATGAAAACGACGGTGATAATTATTACGACTTTGCTTTGGTTACCCCTAAAAGGTAAGGATAAATTTAGTTTAATGATAAATTTAAATTTTAATAAGTATTATTATACAGTAGCTTACCTCGTTATAACGCGCATCGATGGAGGAGATTATTCCTCAGGAGATAATTTAGCCCAAAAAACCGCGTTATAGCAAGGTCTGCATTTTAACGAGGTTTGATTTTGAAGGCAAATTATCACATACCGAGGTCCGAGCTTGTGTTATAAGAAGTTTTGTAGAGGTAAACACATATTATGTAAGGTCAGTGTTTGGTGCACATATTCTCTTGATGCTATTTTATACTGAAAGAGCTTTGTCATGAACAAATCCATACTACACAGTGCAACTTTTAGTTTATCGTAAACTTAAATTGTAACTTTAAGTACTATTTTCATTTTGCATATTACATTGTAAAAGAGGGAGGAAACCCCAAATACCGCGTTATAACGAGGTCCGTCGCGTCGCTTTATTATAGTGGTCAGGTGCGTTTTAACGAGGTTATACAGCAATATCATTCGGTTTAAGTTAGACAACAAATTGATCAATCAGGATACATATTACACATATTATGTAATTATGTAATGCTGGTTTTTATAATTTATTCAAATCAACACTATTTCTTTAATTTGACTGATTGAAAATGGTATAAATTATAATGTGACAATCTCTTAAAGTGTTCACTACTTCAGGTGCACTAAGACCGGAGGAACCAGGAGAGATAGTACCTGCGTCTGTGTCTCAGTCTGCGACTTATAATAATGACGTGGTTAACTATGGAGCAGATAATGCTATAGACAGTGACCTGAACACCCGGGCTTCTGCAAAATCAGTAGGAGATAATAAGGCCTGGTTTAGAGCGTCTCTAGATAAGGAACACTGCATTAAGCAGGTAGTGCATTATTTGCACTCAGCTAACAACACTCACACCTGCTCTAATGACTCGTGTACCTGTCAGGGAAAGCTGTGTGACAATTATCCCCTCACAGTGTACCATGAAAACACGGTCCCTGGAGACTATGTCCCCTCCGGGTGTAAACTTGGGGACACTATAGAAATAACATCTGAAGTAATTTATGTCAGAGTGCATGAAATAGTGATCATCGAAAAATTAGGTAGTCTATTTAACTCATTAATTTTAAGTTGCTTTTCCTGATATTATTCAGAAATTATCAAATTATGTCATGTCATAGCTTCATAAGTTATACTTAGCTATATTTTTAAAGCGACATAAGATTAAGACAATATTTCACGACAATTAACTAGTTGCGCGATAAAACGACATTCTAAAATTATAATATCTACCGAAGGTTGCGAGGAACTGAGCCTAAAAAACGTCGTATCAACGGAGCCTGGACTTCCTGTAGCACATGGAACACTGATGACGGTACAATGCGAAACAGGCTTCATCAACAAAAGAGGGAAAGCGAGGTGTATGGATGGAGAGATAGTTGGCCTTGTCTATGATGCACCACTTTGTGATATTATAAGTAAGTTAACACCTTAAAAACCACTTAATAAGATTATTATTTAAACTCTTAAATTAATATTATAATAATATGTCATGCACGAGGAAGAGGTACTGCGAATTTCTCGAATATGTTAGCGCGAGTTACTTTGGTAACTAAACCGCAAAGCAAAATAAAAATTTCGAGATTGCGATGAGGCGCTGCAAACATTCCACACTATAAGTATAATTCTGTCTGGTCAACAAAACTTTATTAACATAATAATGGCGCGAAATCTGGCAACAACTCAATAATTTTGGAATCGGTTTAGGTTAATACTTTAGCTATTTTCCTTACCATAGATATCATACGAACCTACAAATAAAAGTTTGATTATTTAGCAGAGTATGGCGGTGATCAGTGAGTACAATGTTCAATAAATGTTGTGTTATGTAAATACAAAAATCTCGACAAGTAAAATATTGATTCAGGAATCATGTTTCTAGATAAATAAACAAATTCGTTGTGAAAATGTACATTATGCTTAAGCATAAAAAGATAAAAGGGTTGGTAAGGCAGTTATTAAGCTATCTAAAATTTTAGAAAAACAGAAGAGAGAAGAAACTTGAAGGAATCATGACCACGGAAAGAAAGATGTCAAGACGGTAAGCATTAATTGGTTATTCTCAGTATCGATAGGGTAACTTTCATTCAATTACGTGGGCATTAGAAAGTCTCAATAAATAAACTCTCAATAATGATAAATATTTAATAGTCTCATGAGGTATTATTCTATTTGAGCGATTGTGTGAAACTCAGCTTAATTGAATAACACATTACTTTAATTTTAATTTCGAATAACACATTACTCTCTGCAGGGACAGTTGGTAAACTGCAAACCAGAATGAACGAAGGTGACACGGAGCAAACCACACACTTTGAACTTGAACAGGTACCACTTCAGGAACTAAACAATCGATTGTATTTGTGTTTGCATTTGAGACCAGTTCCCATTCTCAAATATGAATTTGATAGAACTCAGTTTTCAGTATAACTACGGTCATTTTCTCAAAGATTATTCATCATAATTATTTCTAGTTCTCTAAAAGTCTAGTCAGAGTTACACTTATTTGGATCGTTATCGTAATATTAGTACTTCGTGATATCGATCCAAATTAATTCTAATCAGTTAGATCTTAGCTAAATAGTGCGGACTCAAGTAGGAAGCTTTCAGCTCAAACAAATACCACGGTACGTGCCTAAATAACAAAAACTATACAGCACCGTTAATAAAGAATAAAGGGGCCGTATCAAAAGTTAATTTTTAATATTTAGTCATAACTTTCTTAAGATCTTGAAATTAAATAGCGGTTGTGAAACGTCGCTCTTCTTAAAGGAGTTTTGAAGTAGACTTGTGAAATAAGAATTTCAAATGTAATTGTTTGATTCTATTGATATTTGATTGACTATTAAAATCATCAGCTACTATTTCAGACAACGGACTAGATGAAAACTCTCCGCCGAAAGAAGCGTCAACTGTCTGGAGACAAATTAAAGGACTGACCTTGCAGCTAAAAAACTTGCATATCATATATTTATATATGCATCACTATCAGAGACAAATTAAAATAACAAATTACCCTTACGGCCTTACTCAAACTGATATTTAGTTTAACTTGTTAAGTTATTTTCCAACTTATAGTATCATTATGATATATGGTTTCAAAACATTTTGAACATATATGGTTTCCAAACATTTTGAAACATTTTAAAAATCTATTTTCTTGGTTTAAAAATCGATCTTTAATAGGGGTGAATTTTAATCTACTGCGGCGTATTTTCTATTGAAATGTTATTACAAGATTTTGAAACTTTTATTTGCATTTTGCAAGGTGACAATTGATTTTATCATACCTGTTTGTCTTTGTGCCATTGTAAGGTTAGTATTTATTTAACTGGGATTTTAGGCAATTTAAATAATTTTTCGGTTTAAGTAAGTGGTTAGTACATGAACTAAAACGGTTAGTACATGTACTGTAAATTTTAAAGCACAGTTTCCTAGAACGTCCAAGAAGAAATATACAACTGCTGGATTCAGATTTCAGATGGCTGCATCTACTCTCTTCGCAGCTCCCTTTCTTTACTTCTTAGGGGCCGTTCATATATTATGTAATCACTTATTGGACAATTTTTACGCCCCCCCCCCCACCACATAGCTATTATGTCAAAATTACACAAGCTTAATCATTTGGAAACTCCCCTCCCTCTCGGCCGATTACGTAATACTTGTTTTCGTTTTGAAAGCTGCCTCGTTGTTGCGGGGTTTGTTACCCAAAACGAGGTAGTTGTCTGAGAGATTGCAGGTTGCAGCACCGCCAGCCAAATGGGGGGGGGGGGGGGGGGGGGGGGGGGGGGGGGCTTTTTCCTTGTCCTTCTTCACAGAGCTGTAGATGTAGCCATCTGAATGCAGCAGTTGTTTAGTTATTCTCGTACTTTCTAGGAATGAAACAAAACATATTGGCATGTTGGATTAGAATATGCAATTTGACCACTCGTCTTTCAGTATTTACCCAAGGTTACATGATATCTCGTATACTTCGTTCAGGGGATTTTTCTTGGGTGACATGATCTGATCACCGTGGGACCCTGGGTCTCAAGCGGTGGGTTGTAGCAGGTCGTTTACCAAGATTCGAAATTGACGAAAAAGGTATCAGATTCGAACAAGCAACAACAACAGCATGGCTATTACCTAGCAAGTTAGGAACTAGGGCCGATTCCTTTTCTTTTATTATAGTCAGGACGCAACTCCAGGCATATGCAGTAGTGTTATTCTCGCAGCTCTTTGATGAGTGATGACGGCCCTTCAGTTGGCCTTGGATCTCAGAAGGGCTAGTAGTCAGCCACCCGTGGTTTGCGTGGAATTAAGACCTACGAGTGTCTTTCTTGATGGTGGAACAGCATGATACTGATAATAATTGATGAGGTGGTTCAACTTCCGAGTGGGTCGTTATTGACCCAGTTGATCGATTTTAAAAGTTAAATCAACGTACAGGAGTAATGACCAAGATATAACATGTTTTTATACTAATATTTGTAAAAGTTTGACAACATTATATTTAATTAATCAATTTTGTGGTCCTAGTGGGTCGCTAATGACCCATTTAACCGATTTTTCGCAGTTTATGATGATTATCACTTGCTGAGAAGCGATTTTGAACTTATGATGTCATGCTTTAGGCTGAATTCAAGAAGTTACATGGACATATGTAGTAATAAGCAAGTGAGCCGAGTGGGTCGTTAATGACCCAAATTCTTTATTTTTAAAAAGTTAGAGTTACACAGTATTGACCATATGTTTTTAACTTATGCTACAGTTTTTATTTTATCCTAACGTCTTTGTTTCAGAAGTTAAAGCCGAAAAACCGTGATGGGTCGTTTGCGACCCGGACGAGTGGGTCGTATGCGACCCGGACGAGTGGGTCGTATGCGACCGCAGTTAGTAAACAGCGTCTAGCTCTGTTTGTGAACATCTGATTATCACGGGCTTTTCATATGTCTCAAGGAAATCGTTGCCCGCAACTATTTTGTCCTCAACAAAATAAGCCTACATAAAGTTTAATGTCCCAATCAAGGCAAGAAGTAAAGTGAAATATTTTCCAATTATGACGACTAATTAGCCTAATTATTTAGTTGTTAGTAATTAATTGGGTCTCGACTGGAAAGTCAATAATGTAGCCCAATAAATTTTGAGCATATGTGCGAAAGATTCGTTGCGTTTAGTATTATGGTTTGTCCTCTATAGCCTCTAGAAAAGGTGGGTCGTAAACGACCCTATCGTCCCTAATGGGTTAATGGAGTTAACATTATTTACAGTCGCGGTTTAGTACACTTTAGGTTATAAAATTAATTGAAACGGAGTATTCTGGATTTGGCGTTTACAGATTTTGTTAATAATAAGATAATAGGTGTTCTGATTTCAAAGATGTATTAGGATGGGAAATTAGTTTGAGCTAGGTTTATTATTGTTGGGTTATAAGATGTCACGTGATAATTATTTTTCTAAAAATTTCTAAAGTAATTTGAACATTAGCCCACTTCAGGCTCCTGAATATCGCAGTAGTTACTTGTACAAAGCATTAAAATACACTACAATCAAAATTTAATTTAATTCAAATAAAAGTTCAACCAGTTTCACATGAAAGTTTTGATTTTTTACTTTACTAATCGTCTAATCTATTTACATCAACTTTATCAACCGAATGTGAGATTTAACTGGCTAATAATTGGTTATATTATCATATTATATTATATAACTTTATTCAAATCAAAAATAGAACAAAATGAACATCTTAAAGATCTGATAAGTAGCCAGAAAAAAAGAAATACTGATTGGTCATTAATCAACTATTGACTGGCTATTACCTGGCTATTTACTTATTAACCAGCAATTAAGCAATTATGATGAGTGATGATTTAAGAACTCTAACTGGATTTTAGCCTGCTGTTAACCGGCTATTAACCAGCTATCAACCGGCTATTCACCGGCTATTAACCAGCTATAAATCAGCTATTAACCAGCTATTAACCAGCTATTAACCGGCTATTAACCAGTTATTAACCGGCTATTAACCAGCTATTAACCGGCAATTAACCGGCTATTAACCTGCTATAAACCGGCTATTAACCAGCTATTAACCGGCTATTAACCGGCTATTAACCGGCTATTAACCGGCTATTAACCGGCTATTAACCAGCTATTAACCAGCTATAAATAAGCTATAAACCAGCGCTATTAACCTGCTATAAACCGGCTATTAACCAGCTATAAATCAGCTATAAACCAGCTATTAACCTGCTATAAACCGGCTATTAACCAGCTATTAACCAGCTATTAACCGGCTATTAACCGGCTATTGACCGGCTATTGACCTTTATTTGAACGGACATTAAGATGAACGTTAGGGCCTCCAGCGGTCATATAATGTCCGTCCAAATAAGGTCCGATAAGGTAGAACAGGAAGAGTGCTAACGGAGGAAGTTCT